CCATCTCAAAATACAAAAAAAAAGTCAATATATACTTATACTTTCTTTTATAAATACAGTCTCTGCCGGGCGTGGTGGCTCACACCTGTAATTCCAGCACTTTGGGAGGCCGAGGTGGGTAGATCACAAGGTCAGGAGTTTGAGACCAGCCTGGCCAACACGGTGAAACACTGTCTCTACTAAAAATACAAAAAATTAGCCAGGCGTAGTGGCACGTGCCTGTAGTCCCAGCTACTCGGGAGGCTGAGGCAGGAGAACTGCTTGAACATGGGAGGAGGAGGTTGCACTCCAGTCTGGGCAACAGAGCGAGACTCCGTCTCTAAATAAATAAATAAATAGTCTCTGTTAGATAATTCCCTGAAAGGCCTAGATAGGTGACCAACTCAATGATGATGAGCACCCATCGTACCATACTGTGGTCTCCAAATATTATTTCCCATGAAAAGGAATCAAGGCACCTAGGAGAAATGGATGCTTCAAGGTCTAGAACAGAAAATGACAGAAAAAACAGCAAGGGAGAGAGCAATGACTACTACAGACTCAAACAGAGGGACACAGACACACACACACACATACACACACAAACACACACACACATACTCCTCTCATTAGTCACCTCTGAAGAATCCTAAGAAATTAACTCACTGCTCTAAAAATTGTCAACTAAAGAGAAGGAATCAAAATTGAACTGACCTTTCCTGGATGAACCGTAGGTCAGGGTAATCAAAGAATTGATGAAGGAAGCTTTCTCTTTCTATTCCAGTTAAGAAATAAAGAGGAATAATAGAATTAAAATGTCACTATTTTTCAAAGCCCTCATGAAATAAGCAATCTTGGCAGTGATCATTAATGGCCACTAACATCAGAAAAAAGAAAGACAGCCAGACACCATATGCTTCCTGATGAGCATACACATGGACATATGGATCAAAGTATTCTTACCCTTCTCTCGCAAAGGAACCAGAACCTAAACAAGCCACTACGTTTCATTTTAATTCACAGTTTCACAAAACATAGAATCAGCATGTTAAATGACTTTATGGAAATTATCAGCAAAATTCAGAATAAAACTAACTCTTTTGAATATGCAACCCAGTTTATGCAACGAAAATGTTAAATGGGAAGAAAAGGAAAGCAAGAGAAGCAAAGGGGTAACTTGAGATTAATTAAAAGATAGTTTTGAGACAAATCAACCAAATGTACTGTGTAGGCCTTGTTGGATCCTTATGGAAACAAACCACTGTTTTTAAAAAAAACCTGTAATAATTAGATCCATTTGATTACTGCTTAGATATTTGATAACAATAAGAGATCATTAAGCATCTGAAATTTATTTATTTATTTATTTTTTTGAGATAGGGTCTCACTCTGTCACCCAGGCTGGGGTGCAGTGGCGTAATTATGGCTCACTGCAGCCTCCATCTCCTTGAGTGCAGGTGATCCTCCAACCTCAGCCTCCCAACTAGCTGGGACTACAGGTGCACACCACCACACCCAGCTTGCTTGCTTTTCTTTCTTGTTCGTTCTTTCGTTCGTTCGTTCGTTCATTCATTCATCTATTCATTCGCTCAGACAGGATTTCACCATGTTGCCCAGGCTGGTCCTTTTATTTTTACATAGAAATTCATATGGTAGTTATGTTTACAGAAAAAATATTTTATTTAAGTACATGCCAAAATATTTACAGATGAGGCCGGGCGCGGTGGCTCACCCTTGTAATCCCAGCACTTTGGGAGGCCGAGGTGGGTGAATCACCTGAGTTCAGGAGTTCGCAATCAGTCTGGTCAACATGGTGAAACCTTGTCTCTACTAAAAACACAAAAATTGGCCAGGTGTAGTCGTGGGCGCCTATAATCCCAGCTACTTGGGAGACTGAGGTTGCAGTGAGCCAAGACCTCGCCATTGCACTCCAGCCTGGGCAACAAGAGCGAAACTCCGTCTCAAAAAATAAAAATAAAAAATTAAAGATGACATTACATAATGGCTGGAATTAACATCAATGTAATCTAGTGGTTGGGGGTAATCAGAGTATGCACAAAACAAGAGTTGATGGCTATTGATCTAGGTGATGGGTCCACGGACGTTTGTTATGTCAACTGTTTCTTTGGTAATGCTTGAAATTATCTACAACAAAAAGTTTTTAGAACTTTTCAAAATCTCCAGCTATGAACTCTCTTTAGAGCACCATTCTAACCATGGATGATGACATCTCTACAGTCTCACAGGAAATGCAAACTCAATCACATTCAAAACCTACCTACCTCCTACCCTCTTTATCAAGATCTCTGTGAAAGGCACCATCCAGACAGTAAAACATCTCTCACCTTCCACACCCAGTCAGGCATATCAAGTTCTCTCTGGGTGGTAACTTCCTTTCCTTATTGCTACCATGCTAATTCAGCTCCCACTACCTCTTGCTAAGTACTGCCTGGTTTCAATTCATCCCCCATATGACCTCTCCACTCTCCATCCTTACCAAATGCCGCCAGCGGCACCCTACTCTCATACCACATTTCCTACCTCAACCCATGCATGCCCAGTGTCAACATTTAGGATGTCTATTGGACTCCATCTCTAGTTTAACTTCTTCCTACTATGTTTCTGTGACAGAAGCAGACTAAATAAACATAAACATACTGAAAACTAATTGATCACATGGAGGTAATAAAGAAGCCTCTTAAACTTGTCCTTTGGATTAGAATCCCTTTAACTCTCATGTCCTATTATCATCATTTCATGTCATACGAATATCCTACCTGGTTGACATTTATTGATGCTACTTTACATTTGAGGATTATTTATGCTACTGTATTTTTTAGTTTTCTGGATTGAGCATGCACATCTACTACTATGAATATGACTAATGAATATCTAGGATATCTAGGATAGCTACATGTGACACGATAGGTGTCACATGTAAAGCAAAGTGACATGACACAATGGAAGACGGAAACAAAATCATTTGTATTCAGAAGAGAACTTTCAGAGGACTTAAGTGCTCAACACTGTAACCTACATAAACAATTATGTTTCTTTCTTTAAGGGTGGTTTCACAATTAAATAATTAAAAAGTTTATCTCCTGCAGCAAGCCTGTCTGTTTTGGCCTTTGATAAGGTTCACATCAGGAAGAATTGTGGATACTTTCCAAACTACAAAAACAGGTATTTTAGTCAGTAGTGGCTATGTTCATTTAAAGTGAACCTTAAATTCCTGTAGCTCTACCAAGGAACAAAAAACTAAAAATTCAACAGAAAGTACAGAAATTAACCACGTGATTACTAAAGAGTACTGAAAAACATAGCTAATAATTGCTTTTCCCTAACCAGATTTAGTTCTTTCCCAGATCTTCTGGGAACTGCTTAGAGGAATCATCAATGAATCATGAGCCAAAAGTAGACTAATACACTACACTCAGCACAAGCTGTAGAATTAATCTCAACATGGGTAACCCCCACTGGAGTACTATAGATTATGCATGATAGATTTGACATCTAGATTTAAGAAGCCAACAGAGATGTTCTACGTGTGGGTTACAGAAGTTAGAAAGAAAATAAAAACACCATTGGATCTCTAAATCCAACACCTTGGACAATGCTACCAAATGAGGCTTTAGTTAGCTGGACATGGTGGCATAAACCTGAAGTCCCAGTGACTCAAGAGGCTACGGTGGGAGAATCACTTGAGCCCAGGAGTTGGAGACTGCAGTGAGCTATGACTACATCACTGAACTCCAGACTGGCTGACAGAGTGAGACCCTGTCACCACTACTACTACTACTACTACTACTACTACTACTACTACTACTACTACTACTACTACCACCGCCACCGCCACCGCCACCACTACCACCACCACCACCCCTTCCCCAAAAAACACCACCACCACCACCGCCACCGCCACCACCACCACCACCCCTTCCCCAAAAAATAAATGAAGCTTTCAAAGTAACACCATGTAGAAAAGACGGCTTTCTTAAAAATGTAAAAACTTTACAGATCAAAGACATGGAGTCTTTCATATGTATCATTATAGAGCTTATCATTAAAATAGAAAAAAAGTGAAAAACTGAGCTTGAAATAAAAATCTCATTGTCAATACACAGTAAAAGTACAAAGAAATGAAATAATGTCAAATATAGAATAATGGTTTCTCTGGAGGAGATTGGAATGTGGGTATGCAATCAAGAGTTTCTGGATTGTCCCTGTTTCACTGTTTAATTTCTTAAGGTGAATTATTTATTATTCTTTATATTCCTTTTAAAATGTTATATAATTTTATAGATCAATTATCTAATGTTTGGCTCCTTTTAAAGACCTCCAGCATTTTAGGTTGCCTCATCAATAGTTGGCAAAAGAGGCTAGGCATGGTAGCTTACACCTATAAACCCAACACTTTGAGAGGCCGAGGTGACTGGATTACTCGAGGTCAGGAGTTCGAGACCACTATGGCCAACATAGTGAAATGCCATGTCTACTAAAAATACAAAAATTTGCCGGGCATGGTGGCGCACGCCTGTAATCCCAGCTACTCATGAGGCTGAGATGAGAGAAGCACTCGAACCCAGGAGGAGGAGGTGGAAATGAGCCAAGATCGTACCACTGTCCTCCAGCCTGGGGAACAGTGCAAGACTCCATCTCAATTAAAAAAAAAAAAAAGAAAAAGAGGCTGGGCGTGGTGACTCACACCTGTAATCCCAGCACTTTGGAAGGCCAAGGCAGGAGGATCACGAGGTCAGGAGATCGAGACCATCCTGGCTAAAACAGTGAAACCCCATCTCTACTAAAAACACAAAAAATTAGCCAGGCGAGGTGGTGGGCGCCTGTAGTCCCAGCTACTTGGGAGGCTGAGGCAGAAGAATGGCATGAACCCGGGGGGCGGAGCTTGCAGTGAGCCGAGATTGCGCCAACTGCACTCCAGCCTGGGCGACAGAGTTGAGACTCTGTCTCAAAAAAAAAAAAAAAAAAGAGCTGGCAAAAGGTTCAAGACGTAATACACTTACCTGATTTGACTTTTCTACTGTACTGCTGGGAACCTCAGTAGTGTCCTTCACAAAAAAGTTATCTATGATGTGTCTCTCTGCACATTCTTGGCTGCAAACTGGGCATCGAATGACTCCAACTGGGAAAAACAAAATTATATTCTAAGTTTTAATACAAATATACTGAGTACTTAACCAACACATCCCATTCAAACTGTGACTTGGTTCTTTTTCAATGTCCATTCTTTTTAAATTCATACCTGTTGTCACTTAAAAACAATTGTCTGTGTAAATATACTGATTTTATCTATACATCACACATGAAATACTAAACGATGCATAAATTCTTCAAAATTTTAAATGAAATGCCTCCCTTCCCCCACATCACCATGGGCTAAATGCTTTTACTGTTTAGCAACTTCTCTAGCAGTGGTTTTCCAACAGAAATGTACAGAACCATATGGGAGATTTTCAAAAGAACAAGGAGCTCAGGTTTTCTCTAGAGCTACAAAATGAGGATTTCTGGAAGTAGAACAGAGACATGCTCCTTTTGTTTAAAATCTCCACAGAGATTGTGAAACACCATTTCCTTTTAACAAATGCAAACAGTATTCCTTTGAACAAAAAATAATAGTCTTTCGTAGTGCTTGGTAAAACAATAAATAATAACAAACGAGTTAAAACTGTAATATAAACTTGATGCCATATAATTTATACTATGGAAGACTGCAGTAAGGTTCCCAGATAGATTTTTTAATGAAATGCATAAGAATAAACACAAAGTAATCCAAAGGCCAATTTCATTTGTATAAACAAATAACAAACAAAAATTTAATTTAAAAAAATTTTTTTACAATAGCAACAAAAATGCATTAAGTACTTAGAAATAAATTTTAAAAGATTGTGAAGGTTACTGTGCAGGAAAATATTAAGCTATATTTAAAAACATTTTAAAATATCTAAATCATGAAGAAAGCATGTTCATGATGGTAAAGATACCAATACTCCCACAACCATATCTATAGATTCAACGCAGCTCTAGTAACAATCCCAAAGGAAATTTCCATAGAATTTTGACAAGCTGAGGGGACATGTCTCCCAACTAATAATACCTACTATATATAAAGCTATAACAATTAAAATGGTGTGATATTTTGTAAGGCTTACATAAATGTACACTTTATATATATCAGATGTTCACTAGAAATCAGTGGGGAAAGGGATGAACTTTCCATGTTGCTGGAACAATTATTGGGGGTGGGGAATGAAAATAGATCCCTACTTTGATCCAAAAAAATATATGTATTTTGAGTAGATTAACAACTATAAGACTTTCACAAGAAAATGTAAGAGAATATCTTTGTGACCTTGGAGTACAAATTTATTGGAATAACTTTTAAGCAAGATACAAAAAGCAAGAGCTATAAGGGAAAGATTAATATATCCACCTTTGTTACAGTTCTTTGTTACAGATCTACAGCTAGTGAAAATATTACCATGAACAAAATGAGAAGACAAGCCTCAAGCTGGAAGATCTATGTAAACACACAGTACTAGTAAAGAATTAATACTTAAAATCTGGAAAGATGTCACAATGCATTTCAGAGAAAAGAAAGATGGAGTAAACCTAATTTTCACTATGCCTCCAGCTTCACACAGCTAAGAACTCTAGACATTCTACATAAAACATTAAGTGTTACCCCCATTTTACAGATGAGGAAACTGGGTGCTATGACATGTCACGTGCACACTCTACATGGTAAGTATTAAAATGGAGATAGAGCATAGACTTTAAAACTGTACAAGACCTAGATCAGCCCTCTTCATTGATTGCTCTGTAACTCCTTTTTTTTTTTTTGAGACAGAGTCTCATTCTGTCACCCAGGCTGGAGTACAATGGTGCGATCTTGGCTCACTGCAACCTCTGCCTCTCTGGTTCAAGCGATTCTCCTGCCTCAGCCTCCTGAGTAGCTGGGATTACAGGCATGCATCACCACGCCCGGCTTATTTTTGTATTTTTAGTAGAGACGGGGTTTCATGATGTTGGTCAGGGTGGTCTCGAACTCCTGACCTCGTGATCCACTGTGCCCAGGCTCGATTGCTCTGTAACTCCTCCTAATCAATCTTTTTGAGCCTCTGTTTCGTCTTCTGTAAAACAGTAATAAATGATAATCATGATGATAGTTATCCTATTGAGAACTTGCTGTGTTCTAGTTATTGTACTCAATATTCCACTTCCATTAGAACAACTCTGAGGCAGGATTGTTGTAAGGATTTTATATGAGTAAATGCACAGAACCGGTCTAGCCTAGGTTGGTACCTGGTAAACCTGGGCAGTAACCCCTGTACTGTCCAGCTAAAATCAGATGACAATAGCTGGCTCTTTCTGAATCAGGTAAATGAGGACCAGCACAATCTCATCTACACTGACTCCCTCAAAGTATGATCTCTAAGGCTACAAATAAATTCTGAGTCATGGATATACCTCTGCCTAATAAGGAACAATTGAAACCAAATGTTAGTAAATCCCAAATTTACATCTCTACCAGAAGGTCATTCCCAAGCCCCAGGTGTATCTTTTTTCCAGTAATAGAAAAACAAAGCACTACATATTACACAGTAAATACAATCATGAGGTGCATGACATGACGGGTTTTTTGTTGTTGTTGTTGCTGGGTTTTTTTTGTTTTTTGTTTTTGAGACAGAGTCTCGCTCTGTCATCCAGGCTGGAGTGCAGTGGTGCGATCTTGGCTCACTGCAACCTCTGCCTACCTGGTTCAAGCGATTCTCCTGCCTCAGCCTCCCAAGTAGCTGGGACTACAGGCACCCGCTACCATGCCTGGCTAACTTTTTGGATTTTTAGTAGAGATGGGGCTTCACCATGTTAGTCAGGATGATCTTGATCTTCTGACCTCGTGATCCATCCATCTCAGCCTCCCAAAGTACTGGGATTACAGGCGTGAGCCACCTCGCTTGACCACTGCATAATGTTTTTTTAGCCAACAATGGATCACATATATGTCAGTGGTATCATAAAATTATAATGAAGCTGAAGGCCGGGTGTGGTGGCTCACACCTGTAATCCCAGCAATTTGGGAAGCTGAGGTGGGTGGATCACTTGAGGTCAGGAGTTCAAGACCAGCCTGGTCAACATGGGGAAACCCTGTCTCTACTAAAAATACAAAAATTGGCCGAGTTCAGTGGAATGTGCCTGTAGTCCTAGCTACTCGGGAGGCTGAGGAAGGAGAATTGCTTGAACCCAGGAGGCAGAGGTTGCAATGAGCCGAGATCGCACCACTGCACTCCAGCCTGGGCAACAGAGTGAGACTCCATCTCAAAAAATAATAATAATAATAAATAAAAAATAAATAAAATGGAGCTGAAAAATTCCTATCACCTAGTGAAAGCTGCGGTAATATTGATAATATTGTAAGTGCAATACATTACTCATGTGTTTAGGGTGATGCTGGTATAAACAAGCCTACTGAGCTGCCAGTCATATAAAAGTACATAATGTTCTAGGCCCCCTTCATATGCACTCATCACTCACTACCCTACTCACCCAGAACAAATTCCAGTCCTTCAAGCACCACTCATAAGTGCTCTATACAGGCGTACCTTATTTTTTTATCTTTTACATTGTATTTTTCTAGGTTTTAGATATGTTTAGATGTACAAATGCCATTGTGTTACAGATGAACACTACAGTATTCAGTACAGTAACATGCTGTACAGATTTGTAGCCTAGGAATAACAGGCTGTACCATATTCTCCTGGTGTGCAGTAGGCTATACCATATAGGTTTGTGTAAGTACACCCTATGATATTTATACAATAAAATTGCCAAAATTGCACCACCATGCCTGGATAATTTTATTTTTTTATGAACAGACAGGGTCTCACTATATTGCCCCGGCTGCTCTCAAACTCCTGGGCTCAAGGGCTCCTCCTGTCTTGGCCTCCCAAAGTGCTGGGATTACAGGCATAAGCCATGGTGCCTGGCCTTATTTCTTTTTTTTCCTTTTGGGGGGGGGGGGGGGGGGGGGGGGGGGAGACAGTCTCACTCTGGTTGCCCAAGCTGGAATGCAACAACATGATCTTGGCGCACTGCAGCCTCCATCTCTCAGGCTCAGGTGAATCTCCCACCTCAGCCTCCTGAGTAGCTGGGACTACAGGCCTGTGCCACCACACTCCACTAATTGTTTTGTATTTTTAGTAGAGACAGAGTTTCACTATGTTGTCCAGGATGGTCTCAAACTCCTGGACTCAAGCAATCCGCCTATCTCAGCCTCCCAGAATGCTGGGATTACACGCATAACCCACCACACCTGGCCTCTTATTCCTTTTTTCTACAAATGAAATGTTTCAAGCTTTTGGGTTTTGAGATGTGAATATGATTTGTTGTCTCCTTTCTGTGAAGTTTTAGTTTCTAAACCTAAGCATAATGCAGGGCTTATGTTTTGACATTATGTGCTAGGAATGGCTCGTACTTCTTTGACTGCCCAGCTCCACAAAAGAGATGTACGTGGATTTAAAGTCTCTTATTACACACGGTAGATCACAACACAAGTGAGTTAAATGACAGGATCATGAGATGGATCACCACCAATCTGGCAACTTTATTCCAACATCCACGGCAGACAAGGGAAAAGATATATATATATATATAGCCAAATAGTGCTGTCCGTGGTCCTGTCAATACCACTAATGGTTTTGACTCCTACATACATAACAAAAAAACAAAAAACAAGTAAATACTATCTACAAGAAATCTACTTCAAATATACAGAGAGAAGTTAAAAGAAAACAAACAAACAAACAAACAGGATGCTAACAGATACACATTCAAACAATAAGCATATGTACAGGGCAGTGCTCCAGGTGGCTTTGAATCAAGCCAGTTCCCTGCTCTGCCTCACACCTCTGTGTAACTGTATAACATACTGGGAATGAAGCATCCTGAGACAAGGAGGAGCTGGTTGGAAGAGCCTCAGTTTCTGTTCCTGTCACTCCCTCCACCCTCAAACAGGATGTCCTCTAATCTTTAGCCCAGTGAATCATGTTGCCCTTGGGACATAAACCTTCTTTCCTGGGTCCCCTAGCTGTGGTCCACAGACTATCCACTCTGGGCAGCTTTCCC